CAGCTTTTTCCTCTCAAAAATTATGCATCAGTTTGGAAACACATCAGGCAGTTGTGTATCAATGGCTAGAACAAATCAAAGACATGGGGAAAGCTAGAACTCTATGGAGGCAACTTGGATCAGTAAAACAGGGCGTAGAAAGAACACTCACATTGTCAAAAGAAGCAAAGAAGAAAAAGGCAAGGAATTAAAAGAATAGTAACAGATGTTACTGATTTCATTTGGCCGCCTTTAAGCAAATATTACCATCATTTTAAGGGAATGCTGAAGATTTGGTTTGTCACAAATCACTTCTCTTCCCTCCCCACTTGAAATTGTTCCTCAAACCCACCTTCTCCAAAAAGTTTTTTCCTTGCCACTTAGGCCCCTTCTTCAGTTGATTTTTTAAAATACCTTAAGTACACACAGCTGCAGTTGACCATATTTATCCCTTGTTATTTTTGTCCTTCTCTCTGTGGCATCCCCCACTACTGTAAGTGCCTAGAAGCAGAGATCTGGATTTTTTTTTTTACTTGTGCTAAACCGTGTAACACAACACGTGTTTAATGAAACTATTTAAACAAATAACTTTCTGCTCAATCATCTCAAGCTATAAAGTAGGGAAGTACCCTCTTACAATATGGAGGGTGCTTTTTTTAAAAAAAAATCCTCTCAGCATGCAAAAATTTCCAAAGAAAAAGGTACAACAACAAGTAAAATGCACCATAAAGTATGTCTGTGATCCTAAAGCCCTTTTTTTTTTTTTGCCATTAAGCTTTGGGACAGTAAACCTTCAAAAGTAGACCTGTTCTAACACCTAGGATTATTATTTTTATATATAGAACTGAAATCTTAAATTCTCCCACCAAAATTAAGAGGATTTAATGACACCACTACGGCCAGATATTCCTCTCTTTTAAGTCTTCAGACTCCAAACAGCATTATAAAATTTTATTGAGAGATTTAATGTTTGGCTTGTTTTATATTTTAAATACTGTGTTTGCTTTCTGACCTTGGGTTGACCCGAAGTAGGTGGGATATAAGTTTAAAAATAAAAAAAGAGTTTCTAGTAGCCCTATCCTAAATCCTGCAGCATTTGCAAACCGGTGTCAGGATGAGGCTTCACAAATGGTTACATCAGTCCAGCATCACAAGCTATGGATGTTACACAATCCATGTAGGGATATTATACACAGCTAGAGAAACTCAAGTGCCTCAGAGTGCATATGGGCCACGAAAACACAGGAAGTTGCACTCATTATAATCCCAGATTATGAACTCCACAATCATAAAAGCACAAGAATGAGACTACTCTGGAAACTGATGCCACTCTGTACGTCATACGACATGTTATACAACAATCTAATAATAGTAGTAGTAGTAGTAGTAGTAGTTGGTTGTTATTTTACTGCTCTTCCGCCTTGTCTGCCCCAAGCATTGGCAGGAGAAAACAGAAAAGAAAGACTCTCAAGGGAGCTTCATGAAAAAAGGTGCTGTTAAAAGTATTTATTAATACTTTTGCCCACTATCAAATAGAGATTCCACATACAGAAGCACATTTCCTTAATGCACATATACATCTGAATACATAACTCCATTTGAGTTGTGGTGCTCTCTGGACCACAGTGAACAGGCAAGATGAGACTTTTTATGTGGATGGGAGGACCTGCAGATCCAGAGCAGGATTGGGATCTTGATATCTAAAGATGAGGATTCAGTGAGGACTAGCATCATTAATGCTTTTGTAGGTAGTGCAATTGTCACATTTCTAAACATAACACAGCTAGTGATTTACATAGTATACAGTGTTAGTTTAAACTGAAATCAACATACAAGGCACTGCTAATGCCTTTCCCTAGTTACCTCATGTACTGCACAATGCTAGCCTTGTCTACTCACAAGTAAGCCCTATTGAATTTGATGGAGCTTACTCTCAGGTAAGTGGAGTTTGGAATGCAGCCTACTCCCAAGTATCAAGTCCAGTAAGAGTCTTCAAGTCTAGCAATACAAGACCCAAACTTTCAGATTTTCTCTCACATAGAAGGTTTCATTCCAAAATAGTAAATAGCAATAATTCAGTTTCAATGCAGTAACTGAGTGCTGTATCTGCAACAACACACACATGCCAATAAAAGCCCAAGAGACTTTATCTGCTGTGTGTGTCCCTTTAAGAAACATCCCCCCCCTTTGCTGTTCCTGTAACAGTGCCATAAATCTCTTTATAAATCAATGGACCTACAAAATCTAGGAAATAATTTCTGTTCAAATTTGTGCCCTGTAGTACTTTATGGACAGTGTAATATTTTCCAAGTTGCATAACCAGGTGATAATATATAATCATTGCTTATACTTCAATTACATATTTAGGGAAATATTTTAGTTAAAACAGTGGTGTAAATGACGTTCTTCTGTTATACCATTTTCTGACAAACCACAGTATAAAACAATCTCATGTACATAAACATATTAAGTATTAAATCAGCAAAGTTTTGATCACATGACTACGCATGCACATACCATTTTAACATGAGCGCCCTGATGCAACAAATCTTTAAATCCTGAACTAATGAAGTAGCTTTAGGAAACTAGGCAGCAAGTTCTACTATTTCAAGTGCAATAAAAAATGCATTATTATATTAGAAAGATCACTGGTTTAAAGTGTGAGCGCATATGCTGCATCTTGTATGTGTTTTGGGGAGGGGGGAAAATACACAGTTTAAGAGATTATTCCTTACTGTCACACACAATCCAAGCAAAGCTCTGAATTATGGAAATGAGCCCCAAATCAGGTTTTTTTCACAGTAAGTACAGACTACACAGCCATCTTACTGCTAAAGGGTATGGATTCACAACTACATTTTGCTACAAAACAAAAAGGGTACTTTTACCCTTCAAGTACCTCATCATAAGAGGTCTTTGCATTCTGGCCCTCCTATACACTTAAGCAGTCACATTTAACACTTCATTGTTCTTGAATAACTGGGATATCGATTGTACCCTTTTGCTGTGTTGAAGCCTGAGAATTTTTAAAGTAGGGTTGCTGATCTCTGGAATTACATCTTCTACAGTTTGGGACTTTCTGCCTTCAAAATAGCTGAGCTTAACTTTCATTATCAAGGGAAAGCACCACAAAAAGCCTAGATTGCTTCCTAGACCTAGATCATCATCCAAGCAAGAGAGAGAAAGAAATCTACTTTCAAAGTATTAAAGTAGCTTTCCAGTCACACATACATTCTTCAAACACCAAAACCCTTCCAGCTGGAATTCACTAAGGACCCAGATCTCGCTTGTGCTAGGACTGTTCTTTTCCACTGTTTACTAAACTTCCCTAAAAGCAGATACGATTCAGCTAAAAAGCCCACATAAAACCAACATTTCACTCGAGTCTCCTCCTTGTGATAAGTTTAGTGGACGCATTCCAGGTTTTGGTACTGCATACAAAACGAAGGCATATCAAACATGTATCAAACATACTTTTCATATTTTCAGCAGCACTAGGCATCTAAAACTATTTGCAAACACTAGGCAAATTTAACAATGAGGTACACTACTGTCTCATTAATACTTTAATGTCATTCCGCATAAAGAAAAACATAAAAGCCATTACAATGGTCAAAATAGGGTGCTAATCAATACACCAGATATTTGATCTTCCTAGATGCATCTAAAATATTTAATGCAATTAGTGCCTCCAAGCTATAAATTATATTGTCAACAAATCAGCACAGAAAAAGAATTGTGAAAGCTTGTCTAACTGCCAACAGAATTTCCTTAAAATAAAAAAAAGATAATACCCTTGAATCAGCTCTAAAATTCAGATAGGCCTGAAGAGCTTTCTGTTCACCTTTTGAAGTGTTATGAATTCCCAACATTCCATTTGAAAAATATGTGGCGCATGCATATATAGAGGCAGCCTCTGGAATAAGGCAATGTAACATTGCCCTCTGAATTATCTGAAATCTCCTTAGCATGCACCATCAATACAGTCTAATGTCCTTGCAGTGGTATTTCCCAACTATTTATAGAGATGGCAAAACACTATGTACCCAAGGGCAGCCATTCCAAATTTAGGATTTATTAAAAAACAAAAAAAGTTGCATGATATAAGAGCATGTCTCCAGTTACTATTTGTGTTCCCATTGCATTGTACATAATTATCCTTCCCTTTAAGCAAATTCAAGCTGCCATAAGATTTACACATCAATATAAAATCTATATTAAATTCAGAAAATGCAGTCATTAATTTTTTTAAAAAAGAACCACACTTGATACTTATACGTATGTATCTCAGAAAACTACAGCTAAGGGTGCTATCTTTCCTTTTTTATCAGCAAAGGGAATAAAATGCTAAGTGCTCCTGATAAGGAGTTTTAGCAGAGCTACTTTTTTTTTATTGGTCACCTTAAATCAGAATTTACATGTGTAATATTTTTAAGTCACCCCGTGCAAATGAAGTGTGATCTAGGAAATGTTTTAAAAGATTTCCATATTTTACATCACTAGCAGCCATTTACAATGAGAAAATAAAGAACATACCTGCTCGCTAACTTTTGAAACATTTATTGAGGTCACTTTTCATTTCCCCAAATCAAAAACAGATACTTGCTTCTAATCGTTTAACAACTCTCCTGAGAAACACAGGTGGCTGGTATTTCATTGTTTCATAAATATTTTTATACAGTGACACCAATGAGCATTAAATAAATCCATTAAATCAAGTCCAGGGTTGTGTGTGCTTCCTTCCACCCCACCACCCCTTCAAAACTGAGTTTTACTGTTGGAGTAACACAGTATCTCTCTCTCTGTCTCTCTCTGTGTGTGCCTTCTTGTGTTTTGTTTTGGATTGGGATAAACTAATTTCCCACCAAGACTAAGTGGACTTCCTTTCTTTGAAAGTGTGAATTCTGTGAACAAAGACTACTTTCTGCCCTCTGGGAAGCAGCTCCATTAATGTGTAAAGAGGGGATGTGCAAGATCCCTTTAAAAGGTTAAGGGGAAATAAATAATCCTAGGGTTCCTACCGAAAGGAAGTTTTCCAGGGACAATATCCGCGTTTTGTTGGAACTGCGACTTTGTCTTTTTTGGATACAATGTTTCTGCTGACTCCGGAAAATTTTCCACTTGAATGTGCAATTAACCAGCAGTGGCAGCAGCAGCAGCAGCAGCTCTGGAGAAAGCAAAGAAGCAGCAAAAGAGAACATTCCTTCTTTCATCTTTAAGAGGGAAAAGAAATTAAAAAGGGAAGAAGGGGCGGGAGAGAGAAAAGCAAAAAGCAAAAACTCAAAGCTCTTTAAAGCCAGCCAAATCTCAGATCCAGCCACTTTTCCAAAGCTCGGCACTAGGGAGAGAAACTCGAGGGATAGGATCAATTTACTTTGCAAGGCCTGATCTGCTCCCAACTTATTCCTTCTTGGCGAAAAATGTGAAAAATGCCAAAGATTTGTCTGTGTGTGCGCGCGCGAAAGAGTGAGTGTGTGTGTTTGAGGGCGCGAGAGCGCGCGCGCGCCCCAGGCTGCAAAGCAGTGACTCAGGCAACTAAATGAAAGCAGCAACAGCAAGAAGGAGCAGAGGAGAGAGGGAGAGAGGAACGGCCGCCTGTTGCAGCTCTGCCTGAAAACCCCCCAAAGCAGCCAAAACTCCACTCAGAAACAACTCCCTCCACCTCCCAAGGCGACTTTCCGGATTTCGTTTTATTTTGCCCCCCCCCCTTTCACATTTCCCAGATCACCTGCAGAGATTGAGAAGAGAGGAGGAGGAGGAGGGGGTCGTGAAGGAACGAAAGAGGGACGATCGGCATGATTCTCCCAAGTAAATAACAGAGGACAACCCCCCCCCCGCTCCTCTCCTTGCCACACAAAGCAACGCGAAATCTGCAGGGAAGCAGCCAGCTCCCTCCAGCCCCCACGCGCCCCAACAAACAGCCAGACACAGACCCGCACAAAACTTACCTCCACTCCACTCCCCACCTTTGCAAACACCACCAGCCTTTTGCAATTCAATTGCAAACTTCTTCCAGCTTTCCCCTGGGGACTTGGCTTGCTTAATTTCCAAGCCTTGGTGTTGTTTGGTAATTTTGGGGGGGTAATTTTTTTTAATTTTTTTCCTTGTTTTTGCTATTATTGTTGTTGTGGTGGTTATTTTGAAAAAGAGAGAGAAATCTCTTAATGTGTGTGTGCGTGTGTGTGTGTGTTTGGGCTCTACAAGCTTGTTGGCTTGCGGGATTATTGCAAGCCCTTGCCAGTGCTTCGTGACTGCCCCCAGACCGGTGGCGGGCAGGGCGGGCTGGGCTTTCGAAACGGGCTTGTGCGGCGCGAGCGATGCTAAGAATGTTCGGAATGAGAAGAGGAATGAAATGAACGCGAGGAGCGGACTCTCGACAGCGGAGGCGGAGCCACGGGCCGCGACAGCCCGGGGAGGCGGAGGGGAGGAGCCACCGAGCAGCTGGTGACCTCATTGGAAAGTCCGGGGAGGAGGAAGCCGGAGAGGGGAGGGGAGGAGTTTCTGGGCAGGGGAGGGAGGGGAGAGATCAGATCGCATGGGGAGGGGCGGGGGGAAGAGGTCACCGAGAGCCACCTGAGCATCAGCCCGAGGGCAAGAGCGCGGCGCTGAAATGGGATCCTCTGCTCACATGCCGAGGCACAATCGGGAAGGCGGAGCGTGGCTGGCTTTGCGCACCGAGAGAGGGGGAAGAGGGAAGAGGATCGTTCCAGCTGCGACTCCCATCGGAGGATACAGGCAACAGGATTGCAGCGCCCTGGGGACGGACGAGGCTGATGCAAACTTTCTAGGGCTGGGTTGCGCGCGCTTTTGGAGAGTTGGTGCTTTCCTCGAGAAATGGAGGAAATAACGCCAGGTCGTCCTTTTTTATTTTATTTTATTTTTTTGCACAGAGAAAGCAAAATTTAGAAATACTTGCACAAAGATGCACAAACAAGCCACGATTCAGAGACGCTCAATGAGACGTAAAATCGAGACAGCAACCTGGAAAAGAACTGCAGTTTGTGATCCGAGGGCTGAAGCGCAGGCAACTCTGGAGCTTTGCATCGCCCTGCTCGCGATAGTCCATATCGCGTGCCTTTCTTGTCCTTGTGACATCATCGCACCCTTGTGGAAATGCACTCCCGGGGGAGCTGTTGTAAGTCACTTGCAATTAACTGTTTGAGTTCCACGTGGAAATGAGAGACATTGAAATGTGCAACACACGGGGAAAATGTTTGCCACGGGCACTTTCTTGGGGGCGTAGAACAAAGCATATAGTGCAATTCTAAAAATGTCTACTCATAAGTAAGCACCACTGCGTTCTGCGGGACTTAATCCCAAATTTATAGGATTATGCCCTCAACCAGGACCATTATATTCTGATGCCATAGAATATACATGTAATGGAATAGTTTCCCCTCATATACAATGCACACCTTTGACATTATGTTCCATCAGGAGTTAAAACGTTTTTTATTCATGCGAGCATTTACTGGAAATTAATTATGGGCTAACTGTCCTCTGCTCATTGCTTTATTATGCAGATTGCTGTAATTTTTTCTTGTATTTTTATTTCATTGTTGTACACCACTTTGGTACTTTTTAAGTGCAAAGTGGTGTTTATTAAAAGATTTATAAAAATCAGTATCATACCAAGAAAATCAGAACAGTTGTGTTATTGCAACTTTCAGTTGCCATCCTAAAAATATTTTTTGCTCCCTGTCCCACTGAGATTTTTCTCTGTTCCATATCTGGCACAGGCTTCTAAAGCAGAGTTTATTAGTATGGCTAGAACAGTTGCCATTAAAAAAAAAACCCTTCATAAATACCTAAAACTTAGGAATGTTGTATTTATTTATTTTATTTATTTTGTATTCTGCCCTTCATCCGAAGATCACATGGTGGTTCACAACATAAACATTCAAAATGAGAACACAAAATGCATAATAAAGCAAAAGCAAACCAATAACTCTTCCCCCAAACACATTTAAAAGGCCATAGAACGTTAATCAGTCAGTGTTAAATAGAATGGATATCCTTATACTTGTTACAGAATAGTGACAAGCCAAACATCCAGAGCAGCCTTTCTGCCAGGATAGATGTTTATGGGAGAAATGGAAAGGGAATAAGGAGGCAAGATAAGACATGCCTCTCCACCAAAACAATTAATATAGGAAGCATGCAGTCAGTACACATGCCCAATGTCATCTTGGAAACGATTCCTTAAGAAGTCTCCCAGTATGGGAGGCTGCTAGGGTAGACGGTCAGTTTAATTCAAGATAGTTTCTTATAGAGAATTACTTAGGAAAGTTATTCTAACTTTCATTCCTCTAATCCAGTGTCCCCTTTCAACCTCCCTTCTGTTCCCCATCCATTGTGCTTTCAACTTCTCACTTAGGCTGCATCCTGTAAATGATGTTTTCTCTTCCTCATCACTTTAGCCTGCCCCTTCTTGGATTTTTGTCCCTAGATCTGCTCTTCTTGGCTTCCCCTTGGTAGAGTACCTCCTGGTGCAGCTGGATTTGTCATGACAGCTGTGAAAGAACATATAAGTTCAATGTTACAAGCACAATAGAAAAAGAAGCTCGCCACTCTGAAGTGTCAACAGCTATTTTCTCCTTCCAATAACCCCCAAATTCCAGACTTCTGTTTCCCCATCCACAAATACAATTCTCCTTCGGTGATGACAAAACCAGATCTTTGTTGTTTAACAAAAGTTCATCAGTTGTACAAAGAAAGTAGCAAACTCAGAACATGATTAAAACAAAACAGTTCAATGTTGCAACATCCAACATTCTACGCTGCAACCATAATAATAGAACTGTAGGGCACTACAGAAATGGTACCATTTACAATTCAACTCAACCCTTTAACACAAAAGTAGCATCCCCCTCTCCGCTTTCATTGTTCTGAATTGTACACCTTCAGTGACGTCCAGTATTTAACCACTTCATACTTACACTGGTGTGCTGCACCGCACACAGTGCCTTGTAATCTGCTTCCTAATTATTTGCAAGAGCAGCAGATGCAGCCTAAAAGAAGTCGGGAGACAAGGGAAACATAAGAAAATCAGGTGGAGCACATGCAGACAGGCCACATGCAGCCTGTCAGGCCCCAGGAAGTCCAACCCACTTCCCCCCACTTTAGCAATTTTAGCTGCATCAGAATTGCGAAGTGCAGGAGCAAATGTTACATTCTGAGTGAGAGGGAAAGTGTGTGAATGAAAGAGTGTTGCCTGAGTGTGTGGTTGTTGAATGTGTGTTTCAGTACACGTGCCCACCACTGCCACCCACACCCCCTGGCATGTGGGACACTCTCAAGTGATCCCCCAGGTGCAAAGAAGATGCCAACTCCTGACATAGAAGAAAACACAGAATAGAATCATTCCAAAATACACTAGATGGGAAATACTGTATGATGATCCTGTTGGTGATCCTTGATCTCTCAGCTTCTTTTGAAATAATCAACAAGTAGTCCTACTTGGATGGCTGTCTTGGGGGATGCTGATCTGCCCCATGGGTTCTCCAGTGTGGGGTGCCATAAGGATCTGTTTTATCCCATATTCAACATCTACATTAAACCACTGAGTGGAGCCGTTTGGAGATTGAGATTGTGTTTTCAGCAAATGCAATTCTAGTTCTCCTTTACATTGGCAGGTGTGGTGGTAGAGGTGCTAGACCAGTGTCTGGCCCCGCTGATGGACTGGATGAGAGCCAATAAACTGAAGCTCAGTCCAGATAAGGCATTGTACATAGGTGCTTCCTTTGATCAGACAGCTGGGGTTCAACCTGTTCTGAATAGGGTCATACTCCCCCTAAAGGAGCAGGTCACATTTGGGGGTACATTTTGATCATCCATTACTGTCACTGGAACCCTATGTGGACAGGTATAGTCTCGATTCTATTGTCTTCACTCTGGTAACTTTCAGGTTAGATTACTGCAGTGCATGGGGCTATCTTTGAAATGGGTTTGGGAACTGCAGCTTTTGCAGTGGCCAGATTGTGGCAGGAAGTAGGTTTGATCATATAACACCAATTCTGGCCCAACTGCATTGACTGCCAATTAAGTTTCCATGCTCAAATCAAAGTGCTGATTTCAACCTATAAAGGCTGATGTGGCTCAGGACCCCAATACCTTAGGCATTGCGTCTCCACACATGAACCCACCCAGACACTTCATTTATCATCTAAGGCCCTTTGTGTGCCCCCTCTGAGGGAGGTGGAGAGGTTGGCACTATGAGATAGGGCCTTTTCAGTTGTAGCTCCAAGACCTTAGAATGCTGTCCCCAGAGAGAGATGCACCTAGTCCCATTGCTATCAACCTTGAAGCACCAGGTGAAGATGTTCTTATTCACCTGGGCATTTTTGCTCTTAATTGGTGTTCATCTTTTATGTGGTGTCATGAACTGGCAGGACAATGGGGAGGAAGAAGAGGATTCTGGGGGATGGAGTATAGCCAGGACTGGGACAAACCAGGACAAGCAGGGCGTGGGGAAGGAAGTACTCACAGGGTGGAGGAGGATGGTGATGGGATGAGGGTCAGTGTACAAGAACCAGAGCATCAGGACCCATCACCAGAGCCAGAGGGGCCCCCATCTCCATGAACACGGTGGACTCTGAGGAGTGGGGAGCAGTGGAAGGGGTGCTCTAGGAGGTTGAGGCAGGCAAGGGCTCACAGCTCAGTTACCTTGTCTAGGTAAGGCTTGCTAGCTTTGGGAGAAGGTATATGATACCTCCGTTGGAGTAGGCTTCGAACAGGTGAGGGTCACATGCCTCATCAAGCTCAGATGCTGCAATCAGCATGCAAATTCCAAAGGGAAGCAGAGCAGAGGTGCTGTGTCTGCTCATCTGCCAATTGTTAAGTGTGTGTGCAGGAGCCAGGCCCTGTGACCAATAGGATTTTGCAGGACTGGGGCCTTCCTAAGTTTGTTCTGAAGAGGCAAGGCATGGCCTCACAGGTGAGGCCGATTGGTAACTCACTGCGCCTGGTGGCAAGAGCTGGGAAGGGATATAAGGTCAGCATTTCCCTTCGGCTCATTGCTACAGCAACACGTTTCCTGCCTTGGGTTTCTTGCTTCCTGATCCTTGAACCTCAGCTTCTTGACTACCTGCTTCTTGATCCTCGGACCCTTGACTTCTTGACTCCTTGCTTCCTGACCCTCGGACTCTTGGCTTCCTGACTCCTGGCTTCTGGACTCCCATTCCTGCTCCCACCCCACCATCTTGCCCCTGGTCCTGATGTCCCCTGCCGGGACTTCAATCGCCTGTGAACCAGACTGTGACACCAATGTTGATGGACCTAAGCTTGGAAGCTCTATGGGACAGTGCTTTGGGTTTGACTTTGGACTGTATCTTGGACTTCAGGCTTGGCTACTTGGATTGACCCTGGACTGTGTT